GTTCAGCTCTGGGGCTGAGTGCAACTCCCACGCCATATATTCCACGAGTCATCGCTCCTGGGTCACCAGACACCACGCTCGGGTCTTGTATGCATGTTTCGGAGACACAGCATGCATCAATTTACGGGAGTACAAGGTTTCAGCAAGCATTGCCTGTTTGTCAATTTGACATAGAGTACGGACGTTAAAAGCTGTTAAAAGGTGTTATTTTGTTTAATGTTTGTAGGCAGCGTGGAGCATAAGGCCCTTCGGTCAGATGACTGACAGTCAAACGGCCCAGCGACGTTTGCTTGTGCGGTGGGAAGGGGTTCGGAGGGACATCGGTGGACGCTGAACTGCGCGGGCAAATGATACTTCCCGGTTGCCCAGGCCGAAGAAGCAGAAAGTTAGCAGGCTAAATTAAATACATGGGTACAAAAATTGTACTTGAAAATATTCCGCCCTGTGATTAAGACGTATGTCCTTACTTTCTATTAAGTACCCAATATTGCAACCAGATAGTCACGTGTATGTAAGTGCAATCGGTAGTTATTGATTACATAAGTGATCTGGCTCCATAGATCTCCACCACTGATGGGACCTCAGGTAGGTTAGTGACATTGTTCTGCTGAGGAACAGTTTTTACTCAGCACTTCTGGAGTCCTAACTTAGCCGTCACAATTTGGCGCCCCTGATGAACTGACGCATCCTACTTGTGTTGAGAACTACGGCGGCTTGGATGTTATCTGAGCTCTACTTTGTGACGAGATTGAAGCCTGCTTAACTTACTTGATACAAAAGCTATGAGATTATGGTGTCCCTTCGTTTCATTGCAATGTTCATCTTACTACTAAATGATGGGAATTTCCTTGTTTCTTGAATGTATTTCCCACTTTTCAGGCCACACATTTCGCGAGAGTCTTCAAGGTCTGTTGGCCATGCATCTCCGTTTTCGACCGGACACAGTGGAGGGGATAACTCGTGGTGTGCGTGATCGTGAAATATCTATCCTATCCCCAAGCTTTTTGCTTGACCTCACCCGGGGTCTTATCTTACCTACGGTGCGTCGCTACCAGGGGCAGCGTGGAGTACAGACTTCAGCCTCAGAAAAGATTATGGTTTCGTTTCATTGCAATGTTCATCTTACTACTAAATGATGGGAATTTCCTTGTTTCTTGAATGTATTTCCCACTTTTCAGGCCACACATTTCGCGAGAGTCTTCAAGGTCTGTTGGCCATGCATCTCCGTTTTCGACCGGACACAGTGGAGGGGATAACTCGTGGTGTGCGTGATCGTGAAATATCTATCCTATCCCCAAGCTTTTTGCTTGACCTCACCCGGGGTCTTATCTTACCTACGGTGCGTCGCTACCAGGGGCAGCGTGGAGTACAGACTTCAGCCTCAGAAACCAACTGTTGGGACGGTTACAAGACTCTTACCCGTCAAACCATGGACATTTACTGTCGTGAAGTGTTGTCCAGTGTTTTATGGTGAGTGGCTGGTTGTGACCTCAATGGAGGCTTGTATTTTTCCTACCGCCTTTTTATTTTATAAATTTGACTTAATTCAGTATCCGGTATCGTGTTACCGATGGCCTTCACGGCTGATGAGCGAGGTCTCGTTAGATGAATAACTTTTGTCCTTTTATGCATGCCTGCGTACATACCTATGTAGACCGTGCATGACTTGCATAGTAGTGTGTATTCTTCGATGTTTCACGAATGACAGTCGGTTTTGAGGCGCCACACAACGGATGTGAGGTGTTTGGTCTCTTAGGGTTTGTTTTTCGGGCACTAGGTGCTGAACCACATTTCATATCAAAACTGTATAGGAAGTCAGCCTTTATTTAGACTGATGACATCACTGAATCCAATAAGTATGGTAGTATATATTTCCTTACAGCTTACTCTCTTGGAGCAGGAAGATAATGGATTCATTTACTTGGTATATATACATATATATGCTATATTTTAAAATTACTGGACCCCGTTTGGAACCAATCGGGTGTTGGATTTGAGGAAGCTCCATCTGCCCTCTGTCGCATTTCAGCTAAGGTCTAAATAGTGGTTTCAATTTCGCTCACAGAAATGATTTCCATGTCGCTTTTTACTTGCTGTTATTTAATTTCCTACTTGTTCAGGTACATGAAACAACTCTGCTTCACCCACTCGTCTTCCGAAAATTCGACCAACGATTGTCACTTACTCGCTTGCTGGAACGAATGCATCGTTGTTTTTGGCCTCTTGATTGATTTGGTGGTTTCTCCAAGCGGCACTGGCGGGCGTCATCGTACTTACGGCGAGCAGACTACACCCTGTGGTAGCGATCGGTTGTTATCATCCTTAGTCTCCACTCTGTTGCGCACAGGACGCCTATTTCTTCAAGGTTTACTCAAAGGTTGCATGCCCATTCTAAGTAGTTTGTTTCGGTGAGTTGTCTGTGGATGTCATTTAATTTAATTTGTTGCACAGTTTGACATGCCTGAAATCGTCCTCGTTCGCTTTTCGCCGTTTCTCTCACAGACCCTAGATTGATTCGTGTTGAAACAAAATAGACAGACAATCAGATAATTAAAAAATGATTCATGGATGTCCAAGATGGTGGTGGCGCGTAGGCAAAAGTCCAGAATATATGGACCGTGATCATTCCATTGCAACCAGTGAACGTTCGTAAACCCTTGAGAGCTCTGAAAATTAACTGGTGTTTCCAAGACCAGCCGCCATACGTGTAAGGTCTGAGCGACTAGGAGGGGATTGAGCTCAAGGTCTCCGAAGTTCCTTGTTCGATATCTGTTGTAATTCTAGGAATTTACTTATCCTGGCCTTCGATGTTCGTGCGTATGTCACACTATCGTCAGAGCTAATGCAACTCCCGAGATACGTATGATGTTCCACAACTTTCACGGTCAATACTTGAATTCCTAAATGTATGTTCAAAGACTCTGCCCCGAAGGACTAGACGAACCTGGTTAGCTTTTCTAATATTGTTGGTGCCTCCTGCCCTTTTTGAATGGAAACAATGTCGTTTGTATATCCAGGTCAGATACATCTGAACATCGGAGTTTTGAAGACCTTACAGAGCTCACCTCATTGCCTCATCAGTGACGAAATTCAACAATATTAGAGAGAGTGGACACCATCGTCGGACGCCACTGCTTGTGGGAAAGCTTTTAGAGAGCTCACCTTACATTGTCACGCGCCCACAACTATGTGAATGCAAACAGCGCAGTATACTCACGAACTGTTCTACTGCGCCAGTTTTTTTTTAAAAGGACGAGCTGGCCGACTGATTCGAATGCACTGTTGAAATCAAGGAACACGAAGTTTGTGTGGGGCCTGTATGCATACCATTGCTTTATAAAAGAACGGCTGGCCGACTGATTCGAATGCACTGTTGAAATCAAGGAACACGAAGTTTGTGTGGGGCCTGTATGCATACCATTGCTTTAACACAAAAGATGTGGTCCACACTGTCACTTCCCGGTCGGAATCCTGCCTGCGGTTCTCAGATGTCATCTTCATGCGCCTTCGTAAGGTGACGTAAGATAAACGGCACGAAGCTTCGACCATAGTAGACAGTGTGTTATATTTCAGAGAAACTGTCTCTAACTGTTGCGACTGGTTGACAAATCCTTCAGCCTTATGGGAAGAAGAGGATTCTTGCAAGGATGGTCATTATTTCGAAGGACCACCTCATTATATCAAATTATTGCTAAACTGTAAGCAACTGCGCTTTCTTGACGTAACATACGCGAAGTCGACTCCAATACTTTCTGAAAAGTGAGAGTAAATTGGGTGTGATCCAGGTAAACATTGGTGAGCATCATGCACGGATGTCGGGTTCAATGCAGTATTGTGATGCTTATCAGATTGGCATGGATATACGAAGCTTAAAAAAATGTACCACGGTACACGCACCAAACTGATTGGCTTTCTAGTTCTCGAAGGCTTCGATCATTTCCACGTCATCCGTTGATATTTCCTGTTTGCGCTGGATAAAGACTAGGTTTCGGTGCCCATATTCCTATAAGGCAGTCACTTGTTTTCCGAGTTGTCGAGTATGGGGATTTTGTATCCTGAGATACCCAATCACTTTGCTCACTTGTCTCAGTCGCGTTTTACGGCTATTGATTCTCCTTTTGTCCTACCATACAGCCACAGGGGTGTTGAGGTCGTCACATTCTTGAAGAACACTCAATCGCTCACACGATTTTTGCAGCGGGTGTGCACGCATGCCAAAACCAATCGAGATGCTAAGCTGGCCAATCAAATTCCGGCAACCCGAAGGTGCTTGGAAATTTTTGTCTACAGGGTGAAAGTGAGTTCCAGGGTGGCAAATATAACCTATTGACCAATGAGGGACGGTTCACCGGGTACCTGTGCGCAACCATTTGACTGGAAGTCGGACGTGAGGTTATGGTTGGAGTGTTTTCACCAGTTTTACAACTTTCAACTTTCGTTGCTTTTGTTGCTCAGTTAACACGCAATCCCGGAGGAAGTTCGAACTCTACATTCAAGTCCTCCCGACCTGGGCAACATAAATTGACACATAAATTCATATAAACTTCAACGTTCTTAACAAATTTCTTTACTGCTATGTTTTTTTGTATTCCTGTAACAAATGGTGAGAAGTTACTTAGTACGGTACCGTTACGTCGGTGCTGATGATGTCAATATCCTACCGTGCACCAAATTTCTTTTTGCCTCAACTGCTTTTCGCTATGATCTGACTGTGGTAGTCAGATTCACCGGAATGATTATTAGGACACCAGCTCCTTTACAGCATCATAGAAAAGCATCCGGTTTAAGTGCTTGCAATTTACAATGGAATAATTTTTCCGTGATGGCGACGCTCATAAAAAAAGTGCTATCCCTCAAAATACTTAGCACTTTAGAACTGTACCGAAGTTCGCAACCATCATTAAGCCCACTAACGCCTAGTAACATTCGGATTAACGTTGCAAGATTAGCATCCGACTTTGAGAGACAAAGTTAGCACTGCGTGATGCAATCATGTTAATCCTTTAGGTATGCCGACTTCATTTTAGATCTTTTATCGGTTCTTACTATGTTCATCTCACTCCCAGTGGTTTTCCTTATACCTTTCTACTCTCTAGGAAGCTAATAGCTACAATAAATCTCGAGGCAAGCGACGTCCCAGGGTGACCCTGTTAGGTGACCTTCAGCTAACCTAGTCTTACATTTCTAAATACCTTTGAGACACTGAACGAGATTTCCGGGACGGAAATTCCACCGCTATCCGCCCAGCAAATAAACACTCTTAGGCGATGATAATATTTACACTCGTCCCTTTGTGACATTTTTGTAACATTCTGTTCACCAATTCCTCGGGAAGACCCTTCGTTATCCATAATTACGACGCTTAGTTTATCAAACACTTTGGTGCACGTATGACCCTTCATCTGTGTATGCAAGCTTTAGTCACTGCATTTTCTTCACCGTAAACTCAGTGGCTTGCCATCTTGACGTAAGAAGTAGTAAAAGTGCATTTTTTTTCTCAATAGACGTATTCAGTTTAAATCAACACAATATACTTTGCACGTTTCCCACTCCTACATGTGACCAAATTACTATTTGTCGGAAACTGTGTTGTGCTTCCATTCCAGATTCTATTATCACAAAACCAATGCTCCGATGCCTTTTGGCTGGGGACGTTAAAAAATCGTGATTTGGCCGGAGTCGAACTACCAGATGACAGTGACTCTGAAAACGAAAGTCAGTCAACTCCTGGTTCAGCGCGTTTACCCGTACAGCGCCGGGTGCCACCCCCCAGAATAAGTTATTCCCCCTCTTTACCGGCCGAGGAGATTCGTGGCTCAATTGATTCTGACCTCGACGGCAGTGAGGACGACAATGAGTCGAATGTACAGTCGGTAGAAAGCCCGACAGAGGCTGACCTGGGTGATAGTGATCATAGTGATGAGAATGGTTCCGAGGAAGAGGATGGGCTGATTGAGCCAAGTGACACAGAGTCGTGTCAACTATGAATACGTTTTCTTATTTCCAAGTTACCATGTTTTACATCCAAGAAATATAAAGATCATCTCATTTTTAACGACCGGTTATTTCCCTTTGGTGTGAAGTTAGGGCGTGCCCTTGTTCAGCAGAGGTTGTAACATTGGAATATCTGATTGTTTTAATCTGCGGAAGTCGAACCCGCTGGCACCATTTCAGTTTTACGTTGCATAGAGAAAATGTACCTGAATTTATCCTGTACGTCAGTCTGTCATGCACAGTTTTGTGGAGTGAATCCACGTAGTTTTCTGTGGGTAATGGAGTTGGCTGATTTTTTTTGGGTGTGTAGCATAAGTTGCCTGGTAAGACTGGTTATAAATTTATTGGAAGCCTGGTTTCCGAGTTCTCGTCGATTGTCATGCGGTTGACTTATGGTCTTAAGGCTCTTCAACTTAACTGTAGTCCCATGCAGCTAGCTTATGCTCCTACCCTCACGTATAGTGGAGGGTGTGGTTTGCTGTTCAATTATTTCGCGCGATTTCCGATTCACATTCTAACTCGTTAATTTAGGTGATGTTGATGAACGAAATAGATCTGAGTGGTGGGTAGCTGACTGAGAGCGTGACTGATGTCTCCCTATAATATTTAACTCAGTAGTTTCATGCCTTGTGACCAATATGCACTTCGAATAGCTAATTTCAGGCATACTGTTGTGTACTTCGCTGTAGTGCTGGATGTCCAACCTGCTGACCAACAGAGCAAATCAAATCGGACCAGTGCAAAATTTTTACACAAGGTGTACCATATGGATGTAGCAGCTTGACGACCAACGCTGCGTATTGGCTGGGTCATGTACTTAATACCGGCTTGGGCCACTCGGTGGAGGTAACCAGAAATGGATGCACACAAATTTGCCCCATGAGCGGCAGTGGGACTAGACGGCTGCGACCCTTCTCGTGGTGTAAAGATTTAGAGGTAACAGAGACCTCAGCTCAGTCCGCGATTAATTTCTCAGTTCTTGCCTAAATGTGAAAATAGTGAACCAAACGTCTGAAAGTTCGATTCACTTGAGACCAAACTGAGCCAAAGGACGCACTTACTTTGGTGTACTGCATACCTATCTCAGCTGGCAATGCTTTTATCATGTTGCTATTACCTGTGCTCGTCTTTAGAATGGATGGTTGTATGATTGGTCGTAGCGTCGCCAGCAGTTTGGCTTCTTGTGCCTGTTTTCTACCCTCTCCAACCCTGGACGGAAGAGGGTTGGACACTTGCCATTATGGAAACTGAGTACTTCATCTTTGGTAAGAAGATACGGAGTTAATCGACTTGTTACCCGTTCTTCACTGTTGTGAATGTCACCATAGTGCGAAATATCCAACCGGCTTACTGACGGCTGGAGAACCAAGATTACGCGGACGAGTGCTGCGTGCGTGGACGCGCGACAGCTCGACACAACATATGGTTGGCAGACCAGTACATTTGCAAACCAGTAATAATGATACGTACTGGGCAAGGCTATCTGGTTACGGCTAAGGTGGACTGGACGACAGACAATCTGGTCAAACGAGTAGGACTGAGTCTAGCCGACACTCAAAATGCCGTTGATACGGTAGACGTGGGGCGATTTTCAGTGTGCATTGTCTCAGCCTCTCCAAGTAAGACGATTTAACTGATCAGTTGTACCTTGAAGTTGAACCTCCAACTCCCAAAAGCCCTTGAGGAGCAATCCCCCCTGCCATTAATGACCAGGATGGGAATTGCGTGTTTTTGGTTCCCCAACATTAGGGTACCAAGTCGGCTGCTCATATAAGTTTGTCCCCAACGTGTGAACGTTTTCAAACATGATAATTAAATTACAACTACAATAAGCCGTCAGAAAGTGAGGACTTCCCCCCTGTGCCATGAGGAGGCACAGCTGTGACCACGTAGACAAACCAAAGTCCATTTCGGCAGCCACTGAGTTCTGAAAGCGACAAGTCAAACCTGAGGTGGGGCATGCGGTAGACTTCGAGATTCGGCAATGTAACATATCAGCTTCTGTATGGGAAATTGGTCCTCATGAGTTCCATCTCATCCGCCCTCAGGGCACAGTGCCAGCATCCCCATCTTTTGCGCAATACACAGTGCAAAATCAGAATCGGTAAATTTATGGGTAGGACAACTGAAACCGGTACTTTGTAAGTAAACCAAGGCACCAGATGAGTACAGAGATGCACGATAGTAAACAGGGCGGTTTTCTCCTGTGAGACTACTCCCAGATTTAAACCACTTCACTCTGGTCTCGTGTGACTGGCCTTGAAGGCGATACCTATTGATAGAGCACTGCCTCATTGGCGCAGGATTCCGTCTCAAAAAATACCAGGATGCGAAATTCTCGCAATGGTCTTGTACTTTTTCCAATTAGTTGTTTGCGAAGAAGACTTTCGTTTCACTGGTTAGGGGTCTCAGAATGAATGCCAGCTGTATGACACACAACCACTAAAAATTCCCCTTCTTGAAGACCACCCTTGAGCAGTAGTTGTCTTTGAACGGCTGGTTCTCTAAAAAACGAACTTCGAAAGTGATTACCCTTCGTATGTTCCTTCAGGTGTCTTTGGAGAAGAAGCGAACACAAAGCTATCTTCCGCTCTGGACAAGACACTTAGAAACTTCGATTTTGAGTTGTATAGACGTGATGACTACCCATACAGTTGCTTATAACTCTTCGATAGCAAACTTCCTCGGTAAACTTATGAGTAGTGCATTACGTGTATACGATGTATCGTGATATCGCGAATATCGTACCAGCTAAAACGTGGGGCGGTCCGGTGCAGTACATTCGGTATAAGAACACCCTAAACGAGAGATTCAGCTCGGTTTCAGATGAGTCTTCCGTCATAGCCAAATTGGTTTGCAAATGAGTGTATTTCGTTGATTGCAAATTATTTTTCGTAAGGACCTATCTTTTTGGAGAGAATAGTGTTCTACTATTTCAAAAGACCGACCGGACTATTATCGGTCGCAGAGACAGTTGGAATCCAATCACATAACCCACTACTCTGTATTCAGGAGAAGCATCTGCGCCCTCCGAACTTGAGTTAGCGCGAAAAACATCCGATTCCATGAACTTGTCCGTCACTGACTTCATTTTGTCACCCGTATACCTTCCATTCAACTGCTATTTCACTGTAACTTATCAACCCGTGGTTTTCACATGACCTTTGGATGTTGTTTCTGGTTTGATCTGATGTATGAGCCAAGAGAACGAGTCACAAAATGTAAACTTTGTTCGCTACCTTCGTTTTCATGAATTTCGAAATTGGCGATCATAAATTTCACGGCCCGTTAGTCCTCCCAAAAAACACGGTCGTTTGTTTGCCAAGCTAATCGCTTCATAAGTGATCTCTCCTAAGCATTTCACTGTACAGTTCTCTAGTGAAATGAAATCGGTCTATAGCAGGTGGCGAAAAAGGAAAAATTTATGCATATGTGGCGAAAAGCTCAACGTGCTAGAAGGCTGGGTATCGTCAGATTCCCCCAATTTTTCTCTACTTATTGCATTTATGAGTCATTTTACGTAAGCACGCTTATAGTGCATTGTAAAAGATACGGGGAAATTGGCACATCTAATTTGTCGTCGCACAACATCCAGATGGTGCTATCAAGATTCAAGCTTTCATTTTGCTCATGGGATGAATTGTTACTTCGGAAGGCAAACTACTGTATATCAGCCCAAAGAAGTTTCTACTGGGGCTTTTGGTCAACTTCGTTCGCGAAGGTCTGAGGGAAATGGAATTTTATCGATTCTTGCCTTCATTTTAGCTTCAATTCATTTAGAAACTCATGTAGCTTTTTCTTTTATCCTTGCTAATCTGCCGCTTTTTCTACCGTGAGAGGAACCAGCTGCTCGCCGGAGGTCTGTTCTAAGAGCCAGCTGTAATTCCGCTGTCGAATCATGACGAAACGTTTAACCAACTAAAAGCTATTGATCAATCATTCGGTTTGTCACAGGAAATGAACTTGGGTCATTTTCTTGTGCCCATCCATGCCCACTTCGTAATCAATCAAGATCACATTGTTGCAACTCTTGCGGTCGGCATCAGGCGAGTGGGTGCAAACAGTGTACCTGATCCCCTCAACTGTTTCCTCGTACCCGAGGGACCGAAGGTTTGAAGCTTTTGTTAGGACTAATCTGACTTATTCAGAAATCAAAAACGGTGAGGTGTTGTTAGCCGTTCGTGCAGCAGTGTATAACTGAAATACCCACCACGCGATTGGCCGATTATGTGTTTCAAGTGCTTCTTGACTAAACGAACTTAAAAACCAATACTTCTTCCACAGGATCGTTTTTTCACATTACTTTCGTTTGGATATTCTAGTCCTCCTTCACTTACACGATGGTTCGGGTTATTGTACATCAGACTGAGAAAGTATCTACTATCTCCCCACTCTTAGTAGAACTTTTCCGCAGTGTGCAACATTGGCCGTGCGAGTAGTTGAGCCTTAGACATTTGACATACGAGGCTATCATCTCACCAGTATTCAACTAACACGCGGATTATTATGTCTGGGCGTTAGGTATTGGATCTTCTATTAAACGTCTAAAAAAACAGCAATTGGTTCACAACGCACCAGTACTAATTGACTCAAGGGATCGGTCTGATTTCCATTCAACCCCAGACTAACGACTCTTTTATCCACACTTTTTTAAAAAGTTTTTGTGAAGTAAAATTTCCAAAACTTTTTTCTCGCGCCTTCTTGCATTAGATTTTTTTACACAACCAGATTTTTCAAAAAAAAATGCAAAAGTCGACCGGACTTGTTGAATGAAATCAGTGGATTGTTAGAAAAACCGTACGTACAAAGGTATGGTAAACTCCTTCATAATGGGATACCATCAAAAGAGCCAATATCCTAAATGTCCTAATCCAAACTCCGAAATTTTCTCATCACTTAGAGCTTATGAAGTTAATCTTCATAGTAAAGTTATAAGAATGAAGTTACTTTACTTTCAGGAAACCAAACAGATGTTTACTTTTCAATGAATTAAAAACGTGACTATTGGAGTATGTTGCTCTATGTCCAGTAACTTAGTGTAGATGTATTCAGTCTGAAAACCTCAATA